AAAATGCTTACATTAAAAGTTCAATTAAATTTTGAATTTAAGTTGAATTTATTCTGATTTTCCTTTTATGAAACTAACTTACATCTAGTAATTACAGGGTACTTACTAGATGTAACATCTTATATCTAGTAAGGCAGAGATTTTATGTTTTATCATTTCTAGGTGATATAGACTAAATAAAGCTAATAAATGCATAACATAAGTGAACACTAGAGTACAATTTAATATACTAGCAAGTACTTATACCAGCAACCTTCACATCCACACATAAAAACAAAAATAAATGAGCAATTAGACTTCTTATTAGATTCCTGCAAGTGTAAATTCACTTAGACTCCTACAAACTGTCTTTACCCACACACACACACACACACACACACACACAAAAAAAAAAAAAAAAAAAAAAAAAAAAAAAAAAAACTAATTTGTATATAATTGTTGAACTAATACGTAGTTATCAACAATAAATCAATAAATTCTAATACATTTCAATACAAATAAACCAACATTAGTTGAATATGTGAACACTGTTGTCTTCTTTGGTTGTAGCTGAAGGTGGTAATAACCAAGGTCCAGATTTTGATTACACATGCATTTTTTGAGTATTTTCCTTTTTAAAAGCATTTTTTTAATTTTTAGATGCTTTTTATGGTATATTCTGGGCATTTCGGAGAGCTCTGAAGCAAATTACAATAATCATATTGAAAAATGAAGTTACCCCTTGAAATAATAATCTCTGAACTCATTTTTACTAGGCAGCCATGTCCTATCCACAGAAAAATTGTTTATGAAATCTATTATCCTGTCTTTTACAACAGGCTTTCCCACAACATATGAGTGCCAATTCTAAGAATTATTCCATACCAGCATTTCCCAGCTCAATAAAACGTTTTCTTCATGTTAAATTCCATATTCTTACATGCTGAGAGGTAAAAGCTATTCCACATATACATTCTTGATGATATTACACACAAACAGTTGTGTTGAATACGTTTCTCTACTTCAGTAGAACCCCAACTTACTTTCTTTTTTCGTTGATCTGGTATTATAGTCCATCTACGATCAGTTGGTAAATGACCTTGAATCTTTCCATTTTTCAAAAGTTAATATCAGATTAGAAATGCCATGAATACAAAAGTTGTTGTTAAGAGTACTTTTCACCAAACGATCTTCGCTGTATATGTTTTGTGCCACTCAGATGGTACAGTGGTTAATGATGTTGACTGCCGTACCAAAGGCCCTGAGCTCGAATCCCACAGAAGGCATAGATGTTTATAAGCATATAGTGTCTATGTGATAAAAAGGTATTCAAAATACATTGCGAACTGAAATCCTTTTTTAAGGTTCGTGTTTGAGGAAGAGAGGTGCAAGACTCTCAGACCTCACTTTAAGATGTTGTCTCTTGGAATTCCATTCAGTACAGAAGCTTAGCAGTTAGCAAGGCCTGCCAATACCCAATATACTTACTTGGATAAAAAGGTGCTGGCTTTGCTTTAAACCTGTGCTTGTATATATATTTTGTTTAAATCTTTTTGCAAGGTGCTGGAAAAGAAAATGTTCCTTCACATGTTACGTTTGAAATAGAGCTTCCAGTTTTTAAAGCAGAGCACCCTAAGGTTTTTCTACAAGAGTTAATGATAAACGCAGTTTTTTCAAGTATGCTCCAAAAACTGCAACTGCTACTCTTGGATACAAAAACTTACTGACAACAGATCTTTCACTTTCGAAAACATCAAGAAGCACTTAATAATTCAACTGCATAATGATAAAAATTCAGAACAAAATTTTCAAATCCCAATGTAATTGTTTCAGTTTATATATTATTTTTTTAAACTTTTGTTAATTTTTTAAAACTTTTTTTAAGGGTACTTTTTCTTTTTTAAGCAAATTTTGAGGTGACTGTTTTCCTTGTGATGACATTCAGTACTTCTAAAACAAAATTTAAGCCAAATACCACTGCTTTGTACTCTGTTTTACTTGGTATATCATTCTTTTCTATAAAGCATTTTCATGAATTTCAGCATTATTTATGTGCAAGACAGATTCTGACTGACATAATTACAGCCTTAATTTGTCAAATTTTTTAATAGTACCTCATCTTTGCAGTGAGAAAATTACTCCTTGAAAATGACAATTGCAGCACTTTTAATGAAAGTTCACCAGTGTAAATGGAAACAAAAATTTTCAAAATAATGATCATAAGATTTTAACTCAAAAGCAGCAGCCTTCATAAAAGTGCCTACACAGTTTTGCAAATAAGGCTTCTATTTGCTATTTAACTCAAAAGCAGCAGCCTTCATAAAAGTGCCTACACAGTTTTGCAAATAAGGCTTCTATTTGCTATTCTAAGGGAAGAAATAAAATATGGTATCTTTATGAAAAATTCTTCACCTACATAATACTGCAGGAACTATCATGAAAATGCTGAATACACACAACTGCACTTACACAGTAATGAAGATCAGCTCTTTTTGCATCCTAGAGATGACTTTTTATTTTGACAGCGAGAATTCTATAAACAGCTCTCTAAAATACATCACAGAATTCTGATAATCTGCATATGCTGAAACCAAAGGTTTAATGGATTAGCTGATTTGGGGTTATAAATTATGTCTTCCTAAAGTTTTGTTTATATTTTGTTCTTTACAATTTTATATTATACCTGGATTAATAAATATATTCATGCTTTAAGAATTATTTAATCATAGTAAATGAACACAAAATTATTACATACAAAGAAACTAATGTTAATACACTCAAGAAATGCAGTTTTTGAGGAAGCAAAGAACCTCTGAAAAACTGAAAAAAAAATTGCATGTTCACTTCTAGAGCCATTAAATTTATTTTGGAGCCGTGAAAGGAAAAATGTGTGAAGTTCTGGCTGGGATTTGAACTCCAAAACTGCAGTAGCCAGTCGAATATGCTTTCAATTACACCATGAAAGCACAAGATAAAAACGATAAAAATTCCAGAAACTACTCTTATATGCACCCTCAGGTCGCCAGATTCCTCGCCAAACATTTTTGGCAAGAAACTCCACTGCCATATTACTATCTAAATTTTTTGTCTACATTTCAAACTTTAAGCCTAAAATGTCTCGAAAAATGCAGTTTTTGCACATGCAAAAACCAGATTTTCAACACACAATTTAAGCTAAAAATTCGAAACAAAAAATTTAGATAGCAAAAACGTAAAAATTCTAACCAAAAATATTCCATGTACACAGCGAAATATTTTAACTAAAAAAAAAAAAAAAAAATCTACGAATTGCACAATATAGGCATCGAAGGAATCTACAAACTACATACACCTCGCTTTAATAAATTAACATAACAACAAATTTCAAAGAACACCATGTACACAGCATTCTGTTTAAACTTAAAAAAAAAAAAAATTGTATGAATTGCACAATCTAGGCATTGCACACAAATCAACAAAATAAACTAAAATAACTAAAATAAATTACAAATATTTTCACTGTACCATATTACCATCTAAACTTTTTATCTACATTTTAAACTTTAAGCCTAAAAAATGTCTCCAAAAACGCGGTTTTCGCACATTCAAATAACATGTTTTCAACACACAATTTAAGTTAAAAATCCGAAACAAAAACAAAAAATTTAGATAGCAAAAACGTAAAGTTTCTGACCAAAAATATTTGACAAGAATCCACGTACACAGCGATATGTTTTAACTTAAAAAAAAATCTACAAATTGCACAATATAGGCAGCGAAGGAATCTACGAACTACGTACACCTCGCTTTAATTAATTAACGTAACAACAATAAATTTCAAAGAATATCATGTACACAGCATTCTGTTTAAACTTAAGAAAACATCTACGAATTGCACAATCTAGGCATTGCGCACAAATCAACAAAATAAACTAAAAAAATTTAATAAATTACAAATAATTCAAAAAACAACAATACCAACAGAAATTCATAGTAAAAAAAACAATGAACACAACATTCTACAAAATAAAAACAATAAAATAAAATGCATTCACTATAATGGATGTTTCTTCGAAAATAATTAATAATTCACTATAATGGATGCTCAGATTCAAATAAATAAATTCTACAGTTTTCTTGGGTGCTTATTAAGCCATGATGTCTAACCTTTCTTATACAGATAATCAAATAAACAAATGAAAGTCTATGAACTTAAATTATTCAAATTCAAAATTATCTCAAGAGTTAACCAGACTTTGTCAACGCAGAATGGGCAAAATAAAGATGCTAAAATCACTATGCAGAAACACAGCACTTGCATAATGACTGAGCTTTTATAAAAGTTAGGAAACTGTGCTAAAAGAAAAATGCTACCTATATATTGAGCAACCTTCCTAATGATGATAGTATCAATATGCAGTGCTCCCTAAAAATGCTAATAAGTAATTAAATAGGGAGATGATATTATACCTTTTCACCCTTTTTTTCCTCTATTTCTTTGCACAAATATGATGCCTTTAGCATTATTGAATTTTTCTTCAAAGAAATTTATATCACAGAAAAGTAAATAGCCTCTGCTTAAAAATCCATGCAGAATGATTAAAATAAATTAAATATATATAATTAATTTAAGATCAGTTTAGAAACAGACACTAAAGCATTTTCAAGTATGGAAAATTTCAGATAATGCTATATTTCTAATAAGTAGCAAAAATTTGCAGTATTTACGAATGTGGCACATGTAGGGATGTTTCTCACTTCAGGAAAACAACTAAAAGTTATTAAATTCTGCTGTTCAAATAATTTTTATCCACACAATATTTAAATACTAAATTCTGAACATAATCAAGATGAAATTGTACAGTTTAAGTTATTTTAAAACAGCTTTCCAATATTTAAAGTAATTTTTTGGAAAAGACTTGTTTAAGCTATGGCATACATTATAAAATACACTACAATATTTTTAACACTGAAATTCAATACAGTGAATATTTTTAAAGTACAGATAGATAAAAAACAACTACTGAAAACTCTACACAACATTTTTATATTAAAACTTTATTTAAAAATTATATACAAAAATGCACAACAATAGTTCATTTATTTACAGAAGTCTACATTCAAACTGTATCACAGAAATTAACAATTTTCATATTCATAAATTCAAGCTATTTACAAAAATATCATTCATTTTCATATTTCATACTTAAGAGGGAAATGAGCTCTAACAGCTGCATTTGCAGTTTAATGTCTGAAGGCTGATTGCTAACAATAAATCCTGGTACACCAACTTTCTGCATAGTTACTTGTTGGATACTGACCTGTAATACCAAAATTTGTTCTACACATTAATCCATAAAAAATATATTAAACAGAACACCAAAGAATATAACACCAGATAAAAATACCATGCATGCAGTTTTTCAGCATGTTATCCTTAGAAAATTAGACATAAGAGAATTTAATTTATTTTTAAGAAATCTATAAAACTGGTTCAAAGTTAAATTAATCATTTCTATTCAGTTTATGAAACAGATAATTATTGAGAATAATTATAAAAAGCTAGTTTTGAAACAACATAATACATTAAGGCATTTTTATTAAATGTTTTTGTAAATTTTCAGAATAATTCATAGCTACGATTTCTAAATAAATACAAAATCAGCACCATCCTCAAACAAGAAAATATCTACTAATTCAGAAAGGAAAGCATGAATATTAATAAACACAAAAGAAAGCAAATAACTTTTGATGTAAGCTTACATATATATATTTAGTTACAATTCACTGTTGTATTGTATAACAGATCTAGCCAAATTATTTAAGCAAAATTAGCGCTTAAATAATTTGGCTAGATCTGGAGATACTCATCTAAGCATCTGGTCATGTGACAATGTGTGGTAAAATACAATTGTGGTCGAATTCTGAAAATCTGCTCACCTCAGAGTCAAAGGTTGTATGTGTCTGTCTACAACAGGAATGCCTTCCAACAGAATGTCCACAGCTGTTGCTGCAGAAAGTAGCTCTAACAAATTTTTTGTATGGGTGTCTTGAAGAAACGCATTGAAGTTTGCCATCTTGGGACATTTAATGATAAACAAGATATATATATATATATATATATATAATTTCTGCTTTAAGAAAAATACTTGCTATAACATTGTTCTGTCTTTTTGATGGCTTTTTTTCTTAACAATGGAACCTTCACTTGCCAACTTCCTACGTGAAATGTATATGGCCTATTACTACAGCAAGTGCCTCCAGTCAGACTTACTGCTAAGAGTAATTCTTATAATAGGCAGACAGTCGGGTCTTCTTGAGTTTTGTTTGATTTTTCACTTCATAATTCTCACATCACATCTGGACTGCTTGCTCATAAATAACTAAATATAATTTTGTTCTAATATTATGGTAGGATCTTATAATTGGGTATTTATTTAAATGAAGTTGCAGAATGTAAGGAACTTAAACAAGAATTTAATCATTATACTGCATAAAATACTTACACAGATAAATACTAACTAAAACCCACAGGCAAATACCATATTTATGAACTGCATAACTACTGCTAATTATAATAGCTACATTTAGCTATCACATATTGGTCACTGGCATGTCTAAAAGTAAATAGGTATTCAGATATCATTAATTTTTCTTTCTATCTCATAGTAAAATATTATATGTCAGTAGGCAGTTTACTGTTTATTGTAATCAGAAACCAATGAATTCTAATCAAAACCATACTTTCATAAAATATTGACCTACATTTTTATTTTTAAAATTTATCTAAAATATAAAGAGGTAAAATTCTAGTAAATACGGTATGTTATACATATGTGAAATAGGATTAATAACATTATAAAAAGTCATTCATTAAGGAAAAAACGTGATACTTCCTCATTTTTTGTGGCCTCTGGTTTTTAAAAAGCTGCTAAGAACAGTGATAAATAGTGAATAAAATTTATTAATGTAAACTACTTAAATCTGGCAAAATAAAGCACAAACTCTATTTGTTTAATCACTATGCAAGTAAAATTTTGACTGTCTACATAAAAGTTTTGAATCAATTTAAAAATCAGTTTTGAATTAATTTTAAAATATGCACTACAATTCTGTAAGATGATTACTGTTCTGTGCAATATTGTTTATTTTGAGACTTAAAATACAATAAGATTATTCAAGAAGTTGAATTATTGTATTTATCATTATTTATGTTTTTAAAGTTTGAAAGCTGGACTAATGCTTACATTAAAAATGGTCATTAATTAGTCATTTAATTAGGTGATTTAATTACAACTCTGAGTAAGCTGAATCTCAATGCTGTTTCTTTTTTCAAAGATGAGATAACAATTTTTGAGTTATACCTGATTGAAGAAGATAACAGCTGTGAGTAGACCATGTTTTAACGCATTTACTTTAAAAGAAAATACAGTCAAAAGTCGTTAATCCGGACTCGTCGGGACTTCGGCGATTCCGGATTATAGATCATCAGTTTAAATCTGGTAAGATGGCATGCAAAAATTACAAAATTAAAAATATGAAACCGTAATTTATGAAATAAATAACAATTATGATCTAAAGGGTATCAAAATTTACAAAAGAAAAGCTTAATATTTATTTGTTTACTTTATTAAACATTTCTTTCAAAGCATACATTACGCATAGTCGAAATTAGAAAATTGCAACCAGAAAACTATTTGATGTGTACTCGTAATATTTATAATGACGAGGAATTTGATTTAAATCATACAAAGACGGAATACATCGAGATGAAATACTACATTTAGTAAGGAATTATAAGCTGAATAAAATAAAAACATCTGCTCTGAAGATAAGGATAGTGCTGACAGATCAACTTCCAGTTCATTGCCCCCCCCGCAAAGTAGTGCGAAATTGATAAACAGATTTCGGAATGGTTAAGAAACAAAGGATGTGCCTTTATCCATTTTTTGCAGCAATTCCACTTTTTGTTTAATGGACTTCGAAACATACTTTCACTTCGTAGATCCTTTACATATTAGTAAATATATATCGGAAATTCTATTTGACATAATCGAAAGTTCAAGCTTACTTTTATAAAATTGCTCTAACAGTCTGCAAAAAATAATAAGCCGGATCCAATTCGAAGATTAAGGAACAATGCAATCTGCAACATTAACTGTATTAGATAATTTTAGCTTAGCTTATACCATCCGTTATACATTAAACGCGCATGCGTATTATGTGCATGCGCACACGCATATTCGCAGCCGTAAAGGTCTTAGTCTTACGTGCACGCGTAAACGCGACGCATGCGCAGAAAGTTTGTAGCTTTGAGTTCCGGATTATGGGTGTCCGAATTAACGACTTTTGACTGTATTAAAATTTTTTTTTTTTTATTTACTGACTTAAAAGATGCTATATTGTTCTTTTATGAAAACAGTACTTCACTATGAAGAATATATAGAAAAATGTCCAAAAAATGAAACTATATATCAATGGAAGTAAATATTTGAAGGTATATATTGGAAGTAAATATTTGGTGTAACATAAAACTTTGCAGGCAGTTGAAAAGCCTACATTTTGACAAAGGGTTCAGTGGCTCCAGAGTACCATTTATAAGGGAGCAACGGTTTATTCAATGTTGTACAGAGGTATTAATAACATGTAAAAGGCGTGAGAAATAACTCAAACTTTTTAAAAATACGACTATTAACTGGAACAGTTTCATGAGCGAGATATGTTCTTTACATTTAATCTGTAACCCCAAAAAGCAATTAGATGGAAAACTGAGGAAATACACAAAAGTCTGTTCACATGTTAAAAAAACACCTATATTAATGGATATTTGGGCAGGTTATGCCAAAAAACTGGTGAATACTGTCTTGTTCATGTTTTATACAGAGATGCAACTAGATTCATGTAAAACATGATCACATACAAGAGAGATAGGCAATTCATTCAGAATATCAGTAAGCATATAGATCCAGAAATGTCTGCTCATAGACAAAATATTGAAAGACTGTGAGGCTCCGCAAAGTGGCAAACTAAAAAGCAACAAGGTACAGCTCATCATCGTTTTGAGTCCTTTCTTGCAAAATTCAAAGGTCCTTAAGTGAGAAAATACTTCTGAAGTTATATTAAAAGCAATCACAGAAATATGCCAGCCAGAAACTGCATGTGAGAGGTCAATATGAAGTTAGCAATAATCTTGGTGTACTATGATGACAGCTGCAAAGATGAGAAAGTATTGAGTATTTTTTCTGTTCTTCAATCCTCTGTCCTTGACTATGTTTGCCATTTCTACTGCCAGAAAGCACTTTAACAATGCTATTTTTAAGAATCTACCTCTATTCATTAGAGCTGTAAACATGTTTAACTGTTGTGCAAAATGTACACAAACCAGCTACAAAGTGGATTTAAGTTTGAACACAATGTCTCAGAAGTTGTGGAAAAATAAATTGTCAAACTATATGTCAAACTATACTGTCAAAGATTTATCTAAAGCAAACAATTTGCAAAATGTCACAATCTCCATTTATTATAAAAAAATGAGAGCAAGGATGTTAGAGCAGAAAACCATAAAATAATTTCAAAAATAAAATAAAACACTTCCACTTAATAAATAAATCCACTTCTTCAATTAAGAGATGTTACCAATACAGTGTTCTTTTAAAAGATTTATTTTCTGATACATATAATTAAAGATTGCCATTAAACTTGTTATACTGGATTTCCTAAAAATCTTAATTTTGTTTATATTTACATTTAAAATTAAATCGAAGATTAAACAGCCGTGGCTTAACAACAATAGTTTCATTTCTTTCTAGCACTAGTTTTGGGTGTAAATTCTTTTTTATTCCTTGTTAAAATGGCCACTGAATATGTTTTGGCAAAATCTGTCGACAATTTGATATTTAACTGCAATTCAAAGTCATTTGCTTTTCTATGCCTGTGTGCTAGATGCAGATCTACAAAGCTGTATTTATAATTTTGTGTAAAATGCTGGAAACCAAGCTTTTCTAATTCCTCACTCTGATAAGCATACCATTAGTTTGACTATATTGTACTTCCCTTCATGTAAATGTACATTTTATTGCTCTCCAGTTTTCTCCCAAAACTCATAATTTCTGCCTGCATTGTCCTTTTGACCAACAAATAGACTTCTGCAAATATCAAGGTCTTTTTTCCCAGATGCATTAATTTTACTTTTCAAGTATGTTGTAAAACATAAGCAACAAATTTCTCTCATACAGTTCAAATAATGAAACTCTATGTTTTCATCCATATTTAACACTCTATTGTTAAATTCTTCAGACTAAGAGTCATTGAAAGGCAGAATGGTAAAGAAAGCAATCCTGGAAACATAAAAGCAATTTACAGGCTCTGAAGACCTTTCTTTTCTCTGAAGATTTTCCCATTTTAACTCCAGATACTTTGCTTTCTAATAAATAATTTCATTTAGTATCCATTTTTGCACTTTCGTTCAGTATTCAAAATTTCATACTTTGGCAAAAAATTCATTGTTTCTTTCTTTTTTTTTTTTTTTTTTTTTAGTTGATAGAAAGTTAAAACTGGTTGATGCTTTAGAAAGAAAAAATAACTAAGGATACAGAAGAATGAGAGATATCAGAAAGAAACTACTGCTTCTCTTCCAATTGATAGAAAGCTTAGGCCAACATTTTAGAGAGAAAATTATTAAAAAAGAAGATATTATGCAGTCTAAAGTGAGCAACTATCAAAATCGTAAAAACAACCTTGTATTTAGCGTAAATATATTGAAATACTCAATCGATTTCGAGGACAGCTAAAGGTCCCTTCTCATCAGGAGAAAGTAATACCTAGAAAGAAATAAAGGGGAAGGAGTCTCAGAAACACGTGGTCATTATCAGCACTGCCCATGATTATAACTGGATTTTTAATCAGAGTTGCACTGGCCGCCTACTTTTACTGAGCCAGGCTATCTGATCAAGCATAAAGAACAAGAAAAATTAGCGAAGTTAAAAATAGGGAGCGAGGGGCAAATGCACCTTCACGCTCAAAATCTGAACTTCAAATTCATTTGAATAACTTCGCTAATTTTTCTTGTCCTTTATGCTTGATCAGATAGCCTAGCTCAGTAAAAGTAGGTGGCCAGTGCAACTCTGATTAAAAATCCAGTTATAACCATGTGCAGTGCTGATAAGGACCACATGTTTCTGAGACTCCTTCCCCTTTATTTCTTTCTCCTGATAAGGAGGGACCTTTAGCTGCCCTCGAAATCAATTGAATATTTCAATATATTTACGCTAAATACAAGGTTGTTTTTACGATTTTGATTGTCCCATTAGCATGTTTCTCTTCTACTTTAGTTTGAGCAACTATGTTGAAACTATGAAAATCAACTATGTTGTGCTCTATAAATATCACAAAAAATTACTACTTTTTTCAAACTAATTCTAATTGGTAAATATTCTAAGAAAAAAAAAAAATATTAAATCGATACCATCATGTGGGCAATGTCATAACCAAAATGGTCTGAAAATCAAATCTGTTGCATGTTAAAAACCTGACAGTTAAATTTGCTAAATTTGGTGACTAATCTTCTGATATGGCAATTGATCAAAGTGGCCTCTTTAACCCTTTGGCAGATGTGAAATTAAGCAATTCTTTCTTTCCAAATATCTGCGATACCTGTCAATCATAAATTTGAATTATCAGCTTTCTTGTTTGTGTTCACTGCGGTCTGTAACTGGAATGCAAGCTGAGCTTGTTCAGGACCATCAAAGGTTTAACAAGAAAGTACCTTTTGTTTATTTACATTCAAAACTGAATTCAGACTACAACCAATCACAAACTAAGCAGTTGTAGACTATCAGTATTCAAGACAATAATTTCATATCTTTCAAGCACTGGTTCTGGGTGGGGGTTCTTTTCTACCCATTCTGAAAAGTTTTTGTAAGACCTTGAAAAACAATTTGGTTGAGAAATTTGTGCTTTGACGATTTCACTCATTTTATAAAAGTTCCAACTTCCTCCCTTGTGGAAAAAAGTAAACTATGGAATCTGAGGAAATATGTTGAATTATGTACAATCTGTAAGAGTAGCTTTTAAGACTTTCAATGACACAGAAGTTTTCACTCTTTTAAGGAAGGAATTTTTAAACACAGCACTGCAACTCACCAAAACATTTTACTGACTGTGAACCATTTTACTGGCAGTGTATGATCTTTAGGTACTTGCTTAGGTAACTTGAGTATATTCTGCCCTACTTTTTATATTATTAATAAGTTCACTTTGGAATATACTTACAATTTGATCCAATTCCATAACAATTTTCATATCCAAACGATTAACTTCATCTTCTTGAAATTTTGCAAGATCCTATAAAAATTTGAAATTAAATAAAAGTATATGTAAGTGATATGCAATTTAATATTAATTATTTTACTGTTACAAAGAATACTTAGAATAAAGATCAAGGCAATGTAATTTATCTAAACGAGTTATTTCAAAATTTCTAAAAACTTCAAAACATTTAGAAACACACAAATACAAAAACTGTATTCCATAACATGACATTTTAATCATAAAACAACAAGTTATTTGAAATTAATTTGTTAAAACTTCATTGCTAAAATGAAGCACTGCTAGTTTCGTTTCATTTTTAATAAAGATGACTACAGGATAAAGACAAAATAATATCAATAAGGACTCCAGAGCAAACAATGCTTAGTTCATATACATTTTAAACCTAAGTTATAAAGCAGCCTGCAAATATTAGCATGTTGAGTGACAAACAAACTTCTATACCTACATCATATGGCAGAATAAATATGAGGAACACTTAAAAATAAAATTTTACAGGCATGATTAACGCAAGTTCTATTCTGTGTGACGCTTACTTTTACTACTAAACAAATGTGGTGTAGAATGAAATACAATCTGTCAGTAAAATTTTTTCCCCTCTATATTTTAAAATGTAAACTTTAGTGGGCTTGTTTTTTTATTTATGGGCATATCCCTCCTTTTTTTGTAACTTTATTATTTTAGTACATATCTCTTACAAACTTTACTTTTATCAGTGTCTTAAGTGAATCATCAAATAAATTGCAAGTTCAATAAAAACATTGTTTGAAAATGATTTAAAATAATTAAAAACCTAATTGGACTTATTCAAACCTAGATTTTGATTATTTAATCATGGCAAAGCATACTAGAGCTATTTGTCTAGAAGAAATGTCAGTATTTTCTTATTATCCGCAACCCCACCAAAATGTCACAGAAAATATTTATAAGGCAAACCAGTATTTCACCAAATTAATTACATGGCAACCCATAATGTTATCAAAATTATTTATGTAGCAACCCAGGTACCCATGTATCTGTTTTGGTCAGTGCCATTCATAATGCCAAATTTGTTCAATGTGAGTGTTTTTATAGCTTATTGTTTTTTAAGTAAAAACAGATCACCACATGTACGAGGAGAAAAACAACACAAAAAAGAAACCCAGGTGTCTGCTGTCTGTTTTGGCTGGTGCACAATGCTGAAGTTCTATGATGCTGAATTTGTGCAATAATCTGATGTTTAACCCATTAACCGCCAAAACTACAAGGAATGTTTCTTTTCTCATGAAAATAATAACAAATATTAAATTAAGCATTTATAACATAAATTTACATTAAAAATAAAAAAAAAATGCTCTTACTTGTGGAAAAAGCGAGTGTTGCGTTTGCGTAACATCAGCGAAATAAGACTGCGGATGTTTAGTGAGTAGGATTGCACTCGTGTGATGTTTCTTTTAAGTGGAGCGCAGGATTACTTTTTAGCTGTATAACATTTTATAAATCTATAAATCACTTTACTTGTAATTAATTTAATATTAAAATATACATTGTATTTCTTTTACAAATGCAGATTATTTTAAATGAAATATTCAAGCATGAAAGCTTGATTACAATCATGATGCAAAGCTACATTACATACTTTGCATCTGTAAACAGTCTGGCTATGATACTCTTTACAACAAAGTCTTTTGTTATCAACGGACTTTACGATAAAATGTCTACCATCTCCATGCAATGGTTTTTGAATGCTGAATTTACTAGGTCTTCCTGTTGTTGATCTATTTCTGGCTAATTCTACACTCTCAATAGGAGTTTGCAAAAGGAATAATGCATTCTCGTGTCTGAAATCTAAAAGAGACTTTATATTTCCAGTAGTAAAAAGTGGTGATATTTAGTAAGTTTAGATACAGTCTCACCTCATATAATTGATCAGTATTGTCAATTTGACTATTGTCAAATGCAAACTCTGCCTTATATTCCTGTACTGCAAACGTGATATCGATTCTCGTACAACAGGAACAGAAATGTCCTTATCAAAAGACCAATACATTTTTTCTTGAGGTAAAGAATGATATCCTGTAAGCAATAATATTCCAATAAATCTTCTCATATAGGGTTCAGATGTAATAAATTCTGCGCTTTTTTTCTGAGTATATATTTGTCTGTTCAACAAGAAGAGAGTAAATGTCTAAAGCAAAAAGAAAAATCGAAAATCTGCGTACTAGTTTTACCTTGTATTTTAGTCTTTTATAATTTCTCTTCTATGTCTTTCTTCATGTTCTTCCTGAGACATAACTAACAGTTCCTTTTTTATCCACTTCAAGATTTCAGTCTTCTGCTTTATAAACATTTTAGTATGACTATAACTGCTTTTAGAAGGCTGAAACTTACTTCTTACGTGAATTTCAACTTCCCCACCAGTACCATTTGGTAAAATATCATTATTTAAAACATTGCCATTCCTTTCTTCTTTGTCACTAGCTTCTGCAATTTCTGGGGGAACAACAACAATATCAGTTTCATTCTGGTCATTATTAACATTATCATCATCTGTTTCTTCATAAAAAAATCTTTGAAGGGCTTCTTCTAATGTAAGATACCTCGTTCTAAGCATTTCTAAATAAACCAGAACATCGAAAGGAATGAGTGAAAAAGGAGATTGACTATCCGTTTCCTGCTGATGTTGCGTCAGCGCAACACCTGTTTTCCCTTCCTTCCCAACACAAATATAAATATCTGACTGATGTAATGTCCTGATAAACTGTGACCTTGACTAAAAATAGATTACTCATAAAGACAGTGATTCTTTTGTTAAATATTTTCAGCAAAAATACCCGGTCAAAAATTTTAAGTTTAAAAAAGTACGAGATTAATTATTATAAACAAAATGATTGTTGAAGGCAAATATTTTTTTACAGAAATAATCTTCATAATATTCCCTACACAAAATCATCTACTGATATAAAATAGCTTAGGTAGTTATATTTATATACCCATTTATTTTGACCTTTGCGTCAACGCAACACCAGCAGCTAATGGGTTTAAAAGTATGTGCAGCCAGCTTGTTTGACTTTTGGAAACTAACATAGTTTGAAGTAAAAGTGTTCTATGCTTTAATTCCTCACCACTAACAGACTTAATTCAAATTAATAAATTAGGAAAAATTGGTGACGTATTTAATACAATTTTTACCTCCTTAAAAGAACAATTTTTACCTCCTACCAAACTATATACATAAGGTCAGAGTGGTAATGTTTTCAGCCTAAAAATTTGACAGCGAGTTTCCACAACATGTTTTTACTATTTTTACAATGACGTCTGCCTGTCTGTGTGTGATAATTTTTTCGTCCATCAGAGCTCTTATATGAAATCCCAAAAATTTCTGTTTTCATATTGAAGCTTCCTGCATTCATATTAAAAGTTCATTAGATTTTGAGTTAAAGTAGGCAATCAGAACTAGTACTTTTCCATAACATTTTTTAAGTCCATAACAGTTTTTAATGAACAACCAAAATTAATACTTTACTTGAAATCCATAACAGTTTCTAATGAAAAACTATATTAAGATATAATCCAAATTTTTTTAATTTTAGCATGTAAGACATACAATTGGGACCAGCATTCTGGATTTTGGCTAAAACTGACAAACCATAAGTGATGCTTTACGTGAAGCTCTGAATAGATTTTTGTGAAAAAATATATTATGAATAATTTTAACTTTTTAAATTTGGTATTTAAAATAAATATATGATTGAGAACAACATATTACATTTATTTGCATTCAATGTATTACTTGAATTATGCTAAATATGATGATCATTACACAGATGAGCTCTCGTTATGAAACAATTAAAAGTATTAACCTCAATCCTCAGTGTGTTTATTTCACTTTTGTGTGAATCACTTTTCAAGCAGAAGGATGCTGCCATCAAACGCTATCACTATGTACTATTTTGAAAGAAATACTGTAAAAAATATAAATAATACAGTAAATAAAAAAATATATGGCAACAATTAACATTCTACTGAGAATTCTAAAGATTTGATGACTTTGATTTTGTTGTTGAATTTCATAAGATGACAATGTGAAGAATGTGATGTTTAATAAATAAAGCTAAAATAAATACAGAAGTTGCCAATCTTATTAAAGAAATTGAATTCTGATGTCAAAAACTCAGAAAAGATTGAAAAAGAAATATATGAAAATACATAATGCTCTACTAGAATTAAAGATATGCTGTTTTCAAAAAATTTGTGATTGTTAATTCATTGCTTTGTGAATTCAAACACTCTATGACCAGAGGCTATATACTATAATTGTTGTGACATTTTGAAATTAAAGCATGAGAACAGATGTGTACATGAGCATGTATATTTATTTATCATTGCCCACTGTATGGGATAATATAATAATAAACAATGAGTAATTTATAATTGACATTGAGATATAAAGCTAATAAACAAATTAGATTTTATTTATGAATGATGAGCTAGAAGTGATAATTTACTTAAAGCTTGTTACTATTTAAAACCTGGAAATGACAGGAAGTGAACAGGAACTGACTCATTAGATTTTTGCTCTATTTTTTACAGCAGATACATTAGCACTCTTCTAATAAATATATTATTTTCAAAAATAAATTCAGCAAATAAGAGTTTTTAATTTAAAGGGATTTAAATGAAACATTCACACAACTTCTTCAAAGAATTTTTCTTACTCACATTGATGAAATTCTAAATGTTTAAGAAATATTGATACTTTTCCCTTTCGCCATCGCAAATCTTGCCAGGCAGACTTTATTAACGACAACACACAGTATACAAACAAAAAAAGTTAGTTCTAAGAAATTTTTATTTTGAACGCATTTTAATACAGTTTAAAATTTTGTAAAAAGACAATAAATTTGTAAAAAGAGATTAATTTAAGAATATACTATGCTTTCATAGTACAACATCCTTATTCGCCATTTCATATCACGTGACCCCAAGTGATCTCATCTCATGTAACTATGCTACAAAAATCTAATTCTCTCAGTAATTATCTACATTAATTTCAAGTTAAATCTTAATTTGGAATACAAGTTTAAATGCAAGAATTCTTTCAGTTCGTACGAATAGCTTACTCAGAAATTATGTAAAACCGCAGTTCTTTAATTAGCTAGTGTTCTCATTAGAATTGATGAATTTAACCCTTTACTTTGCCTTTTCTATATTTTCGGGTGAGCAGTGTGATTGCATCCTGATTGACCCGCGAATGGCCATGGGGCATGAAATTGAACTATCTGGTAAAAATTCTATGTAACTGTATGCCAGTATTGAAAGAAACAATCAATCTGTAAGAAATGGCTGAACCTGTTTCGAAAATGAGGTCTAAAAGGTTACCAGCGGGGATATTCCGTTTGGCATTGGTAGTACCATTTTTGGCGAGTTTATCGCTTGCGCCGGCAAAATGGAAAAGTACCGAAATATTTTACGTCCAGCTGAACAAGGCTGTCTGCAGTAAGTCAACATTAAGGATAACTAATTTTGAATGATCTAGTTCTGTTATGTATAACGAACGGTATAAGCTAAAATTATCTAATTATCTATTTCAGTTAATGTTGCAGATTGCATTGTTCCTTAATTTTCTAATTGGATCCGGCTTATTATTTTTTGCAGACTGTTAGAGCAATTTTATAAAAGTCAACTTGAACTTTCGATTATGTCAAAAAGAATTTCCGATTCTGGAGCTGCCAAAGGATCTACAAAGCGAAAGCAAGCATGTTTCGATGTCCATGAAACAAAAAGTGGAATTGCTGCAAAACATCGGATAAAAGCATATCCTTTGTTTCTCTAACCATTCCGAAATCTGTTTATCAATTTCGCGCTGCTCTGCGGGGGTGGGGGAAGTCGCGGCGCGCAATGAACTGGAAGTTGATCTGTCAGCACTATCCTTATCTTCAAGGCAGATTTTTTTTTTTTTATTTGGCTTAGAATTCCTTACTAAATGTGGTATTTCATCTTGATGTACTCCATCTTTGATATGATTTAAATCAAATTCCTCATCATAATAAATATCATGAATACACATCAAATAGTTTTCTGGTTGCAATTTTCTAATTTCGACTATGCATATTGTATGCTTTACGCATGCGCGCGTTGAAAGAAATATTTAATAAAGTAAACAAATAAATATCAAGCTTTTTTTTTTTGTAAACTTTGATACCCTTTAGATCATAATTGATCTTTATTTCATAAATTACAGTTTTATATTTTTAATTTTATAATTTCTGCAAGCCATCTTAATAGATTTAAACTCATGATCTATAATACGGAAAAACCGATAATCTGGAATCGCCGATGTCCCGACAAGTCAGGATTAAAGACTTTTGACTGTACCATACTAAACCAGCCATTTTTTTTAAAGTTTTAAAAAAATATATCAAAATTAAAGAAAAGTGATTTAGTTTTTGTACAGTAAAAGGAAACGGTAGTTTTCCGTTTTGCCGGCACAAATCTCGCCAAGCAGACTTTATTGGCGACAACATACAGTATACACATAAAAAATGTTAACAAATGCTAGTTCTAAGAATTTTTATTTTGAAGGCATAAACATTTTAATAGCGTTTAAAATTTTGTAAAAAGCCAATAAATTTGTAAAAAGACATTAATTTTAAGAATTAACTCTGCTTTCATGGTTCAACATCCCGATTCGTATCACGTGACCCCAAGAGATCTCATCTCACATAAACTACGCTACAAAAATCTAATTCTCTCAGTAATTATTTACATTAATTTCAAGTTAAATCTTAGTTTGGAATGCAAGTTTAAATGCAAGAATTGTTTCAATTCGTATGAATAGCTTACTTGAAAATTAAGTAAAACCACAGTTCTTTACTTCGCTAGTGCATTCCATTAGAATTGATGAATTTAACCCTTGACTTTGCCTTTAATATATTTTCGTCTTCAGGTGAGCGGTGTGACTGCTTCCTAATTGACTTAATTACCATGAATGGTCTTAGGGCATAAAATTGAACTATCTGGTAAAAATTATATGTAATTACCGCGAATGGTCTTAGGACATAAAATTGAACTATCTGGTAAGAATTCTATGTAATTTTATGCCAGTATTGAAAAAAACAATCAATCTGATAAGAAATGGCTGTGACTTGTTTTGAAAATGAGACGAAAAGGTTACCAGCGAGTACAATTATTGGCAACTTTATCGCCTGCGCCGGCAAAATGGAGAAGTACCAAGGAAACATGTTGTTAATATCACATCACATTTAATATTAAATCCATCTGATTTACCTCCATCTCTTTTTCTTGTTTAGCTCTCAGAATTGTTGCATTTTGAGGATGAACAAGAAGTTCATTTGTAAGTGTTTCTTTGTGGCGTTTTAAAACCTGCTCCTTTTGTGCTAAATTAAAAGAAAAATAGAAGTTTATAAACTCCTGGAAACTAGCACATTTCTTCAAAAATAATTCAAATATTTACACAGTATATATAGTATATATATATTATTTTAGCTTATTGGAATATAAATACAATAATTTAAATATGTTTTATAAAGGAACAATTCTAGCAATCTGGAATAATTAAAATTTTAAAGACTGAAAAATCTTAGTGTGCATGCATACACACATAAACACACTTTTATTATGCACATACACTATTTTACTATAAGCATGTTTTATAATTTATTGTTTTACCTGAGATTATGAATAATAATAAAAAAAAAGAAACATCTTTTTTAGCTTTGATTTTTTTTTTTACGTAGTGTGTTTAAAGGATATAGCATTTAGTATATGTATTGATTCAATGCTGTTCTGAACCTAAACAAACTGAAATTCATGCAATCTAAACAGATTCAAACATTACTCAGAACCTAAATATGCAAATTACCATTCCTGAATTATTCTAGTTATTCATTAAATGATAAATTTTCAACTTTTTATGGTTATATATGGATTTGTACCATCTAAAAAGCAAAACAAGAACTAAATAAAAATTCATTATGGCTGTAAAAGGTCAATTTGTAAGGTGCATGATATTTCGTTTTATTGTTTCATTTTTATAATAACAAATTATAATATATTTTACACATAAAATAGTTTAATAAGACAAGCACATTAAAAAAAATTAAATTATAGTAGGCTTTAAAAAGCAACAATGTATCAAATTAAGACACAATCATATCCTTTAGACTGAACAAATCAGCTATTAAAGAAATCATGAAAATCAAAAACTCTGATAAACAATGCACAAAGAGACTATAATAATTTTCTTTGCATATGAAACCTACATTTGCCATGGAATATCAAGTTTGTTCTGAATAGCTCTATACATGCTGCAATTATATAATAAAAATTATACTATTTTTTTTAAGAAAACTCTAAATTAGAGAATTAGAATTAAGGGCAAATATAATTGCTGGACACAAATGCAAATATAGAAAGTGCACCATATTTTAAGATTGAATACATGGCTGTTCCTAGGCCACTGGCTGCCTGCATACTTTCCTAAGATTGCCCCCCCCCTCAATTAAAAAAAGTGCTCAGTGATTAATAAAATTTTGATTTCATACTTACTAAGTACTTAGATATGACAAGTACTTGTAATGAATTTAAAATAGTTAGGTGTATCCGGATTTTGGCTGCTCGTGTAATTTTACATGCTGCACCCCTACTAGGAATGGCCCTGACTGAATATCTAAATATGACAGTATACAATGGCTAAAAAAAAGTTTAAAATGGAGTTTACCCTTTTTGCATACTTCATTTTTGTTAATTACTGTGGCTATTCAACAACTATCAGTTTGTACCCACTCTTTTGTAAAGGCAGTCATACTGACAGATTTTAAAAGTGCACTTCAAGCCCTTCTGAATAATCAAAATACAGTCAAAAGTCGTTAATTCGGACATCCATAATCCGGACCTCAAAGATAAAAACTTTCTGTGCATGCACAGCGTTGACACATGCACATAGGCGTTTACGCGTGCGCGTAAGACCTTTACGACTGCGCATATGCTTGTGTGCAAGCGCAGAATACGTTTTCGCGTGCACGTTTTATGTATAACGGACGGTATAAGCTAAAATTATCTAATTGTCTATTTTAGTTAATGTTGATGATTACGTTGTTCCTTAATCTTCGAGTTGGATCCGGCTTATTATTTCTTGCAGACTGTAAGAGCAATTTTATAAAAGTAAACTTGAACTTTCGATTATATCAAATAGAATTTCCGATGCTGGAGCTCCCAAAGGATCTACAAAATGAAAGTATGTTTCGATGTCCATCAAACAAAAAGTGGAATTGCTACAAAAAATGGATAAAGACATGAAGAAGGTGACAGAGAGGTTAGTGATAATGAAAAAATTTCGATTGACAAGTTAGTCGGTATTCTCGGCACAGCAATTACAGGACTTGAACAGCGGAACTTTGTAACTGAACAAGAAATTATGTCTGTTAATAGAATTAAAGAGAAAGTATTATCACATAAAATGAAGCAACAAAAACAAACAACTTACATTGAAAGAAATGTTTAATAAAGTAAACATATAAATATGAAGCTTTTTTTTTTTTTTGTAAATTTTGATACCCTTTAGATCATAATTGTTCTTTATTTCATAAATTACGGTTTCATATTTTTAATTTTAGAATTTCTGCATGCCATCTTACGAGATTTAAACTGATGATCTATAATCCGGAATCACTGAAGTCCCGAGTCCGAATTAACGACTTTTGACTGTAGTTTCCAAATAAAATTAAGACTTTGCTTAAGACAATGGCACACATAATTTCTTTCCAATGGATTCCAGCCCACTGTGGAACTATGGGCAAGAAAAAAAGATGACACATTGGCTAAGAAAGGAACTTTGATAATGCAATGCATTAATCGACTTTCTTTTCATAACCACTCAATTGTTTGTTAATCTGACTCTTAAGAAAATCCTTAAACGGGATATAATTCAATGTGCTATGGATAAGAGATTGAGGATTCTAGGGGAAGACAACTTTCATTCACAGTTTTCCAAGAAAGACAGCGGTTGCTCTATTTAGCATGTCTGACTGGATATCATGGTTTATGAGACCACCTCTACAGTGGAGTGGTGAATTCCCAAACCTGTGTTTTGAATGACTCCAATCACAACCTTTGAAAATTTACATAATAATTAAAAATTCTTTTTCTGAATTTAAATCTTTCATTTTTATATTCAATGTAACATTAAGATTTAAAATACAGTCTCACTTATTCGACATACAAATGACCTCCCCCCCCAAAAAAGTGTCAACGGGCAACAAGAGCTGCAAGTTGTGAATGCAGTCCTTTTTGACACCCTTCCCCTGCATTTTGTGAATGCAGGGGGAAGGGTGTTGGTGTTGCTCTGGACTCCAATCACCTATCACACCCATCTTTACTATGTTTCATGTGTCTATCATTCAGTGTAATGCAGTTTATGTTGTATGCAGACAGAATTTTTCACCAACGGATTGGATTAGTCTATTACTAAAATCCCCAGGAGATCTGATAAAATCTACATCAGTTTTCAACGATGAGAGAATATTCTCTTGGAGAGGGAGGATTTCATAGTTTCATGGAAAAATGTAGTCAGACCTTTAGCTGTTAGATATTTAGGTTTATTTTATGAATACAAAATCTACTTTTATTCAAGTTTTGGTATTTATAAACACTTTTTTTTTTAAAAACTTTTTCTTGTTTAATTTATAAAAGCACATTAAAGATTACCTAAATAAATGTATGTATTTTTCAAATTTTGGAAAGGGGGATGATCATCTAGTAATGATGAAGAGGATGCACGGAACAAAACATGTTAAGAGCCACTGCTCTCCGAGAAAAATAATAAGCAGAAAATGAAGAGAAATGACACCACAGAGGAATACATCCATGCTTTAAGCTATGTATCTAGCCTGTAATATTTTCCACAGAAAATTGTCATCTTCTGGTTTGTTTATGCCTTAATATTAAAATATAAGCAAGTTAATGATTTATAGAAAAATTATATTACTAGTACCAAATCTTTCAAATGTTTTTAACAAAAATGATATTCTTATAGTACTATGATGAAAAAGAAAATACTGGCTTACTTTTATGTGAATTGATGAGTTTCATTCTTTTTTCTAAAAAATTTTTTTCAGTCATCACCTGAATATCCCGCAGGCCCTTCACAATATCAAAAACTGTTTTATCCAATAAGGAATTGGCTAAATCAGTTAGAAGTTCATATGACAATTTTTGTTGAAATATTCTGAAATTTAAAAAATGATGATTTAGTTTTTACAACATAAAAAACATAAATTATATGATACACAGTAAAATTATAAATCAAATAGCAAAGGTAATTGAAAAAAAAAAAAAAAAAAAAAAAAAAACAACTCTCTCATAAAAATTGCTATAAATTTAGCTACTCGGCAATAACTTTTGCCATCCAGCAATCCATCTTCAAACTACACTAATCTAACTATTCCGAGTACACTAGAATACATTTCAAATTAAGAATACTTTCAGATACTGTCAGAATAAAGCCATAAAATGGCTAAAAAATCTGTAAAGGCTTTATTGCTTCTAGTGGTCAAACTCTTGCAACTTACTGTCCTTTAGCTGTCTCGCCATTGAGAATATCGCCCAAGGCACATCAAATAAGGAAAGCATTGACAATTGTCAGGCTTCTGTTACGAATCCTGCTTCTCATTTGAACCTGTAGATTTTGACATAAAATCTGCCTGCTATTTAATAAACCTCTAGACTGACCACGTATGTTACGAAATGAGACATAAAACAAAAAATCAAAGCTAACTGCTAGTACAACGTACATAAAATGTCACCAGTTTTCTTTCAAATATGTCCATATTATAAGTGTAAAATATTTAATGCTAACTAATTTTGGATATTAGTACAGAAAATGAACGTAAAAGTTTTTTTGAGTATATAGGAAATATTTAATGTTGTAATGAATATAAATATACTAAAAATTTATGAAAATGAATAATTAGATGCAAAGATATGATATGTTAAACTTTGAAGGCTCTCTTATGGAAAAATATTTGTACTAGTTGCCTTTATACAAAGAATAGAGGCTTTTCACAGCCAAGCACCTCTTAATCATTGATGAATATTAATCGGTTAGTTTAAAAGGATATGCCCAAATTGATGGATATGTTATATGCATTCATTAAACTATTCAACACACCTCATCATTCAAAGGCAAAGAAATACACTTTAAAAATAACTTTGCAATCAATAAAAATCATATTTTCATTCATTCATCATCGAACAGTACTACAGACAATGAAATTTGAGTTAATAAAAGCAGACAATTAAAATTATTATTCAGCAGAAGATGGAATTGATATAATTTTTATAAATACGCATGTCTTAGTGCTTTTCGATACCCTCCTCCTCGATATATATATATTTATATATATATATATATTGTTAGCAACAAAATTAAAAATTTCATATTTCATTAAAAAAGCAATCCTTCTCAATAGTATAAAATTACTCACAAAGGCAATTCACTACACATTTCTTGTAAATCTCGAAGCAATTTGTAATGCCTTTCCTGTAATGATGCTTTCTTTGAGAGCTCATCGTCATATCCTTCTTTAATCACTGAATTTTCCATGGTTTTCTTAATAAGGCTATCGCATTAATAAGTTCTAAAAATGTAAACAGCAGACTACACTGCAGCTCCTTAGAAAATACTGTTAAGTACACTGTTTGAGTTCCTTTTCCTTAGGCTAACAATCCGAAATAGCGTAAAGGTCCGTCCACACGAGTACGCTCGAAACGTAGCTGACGAACGCGCTTGTCCAAACGAGTACGCTTGCGAAGAGTGCGTTTAACCAATAGAATTATTTTGCGCAAAAATCACGTGACGCTGTAATATAGCGTCAACAGAGCTGTATCTTATTACTTCGCTGTTCTTCTGTATGTTTGCGGCAAGTTGTCCGAATCAGATGATTTTTTTTATAGCTGAAACTTTACTATTATGTACAATTATTAAGCAGAGGCAAAACCGCAAAAAATGGCAAGAATGGGTCCGAAAGATTTATTTAGAGCGACCTGTTCAAAGAGATTTTTTTTTTTTTTTTTACTGCCTTGTTTGCGAAAGGAATATCTGGAATTATTAAATTCCTACTATTAGCTCACACTCTCCCTATATCTTGTTCAAATTTTCAGTACATAAAATGCTTTTTATTCATCCACTCAAGTTCAAATACAATTTTTTAAACTTGCAGTGAATGACACTTGATGTTAATACAGCTTTTTCAGATATTAAAATTTTTTAATTTTTAATTTAAAAAATTATGTTTGTATTTTTATTTATTTATTTTTGTATTTTTAAACTTTTCTTTGTGGACCTAAGTAGGAATTGACTTAATTTTTTTTTTTTGGGGGGGGGGGTTATATTACTTGTTTTTTAATTCCTTCAGGATGAGTATCGACCAGTTTGACAGACTTGCAGATTCTATATCGTATGAAAATTAGGATTTATAAAATTGGTTTGGAATACAGTATATAAAGAGAATTAAATTCTTTATATACTGTATTCCAAACCAATTTTATAAATCCTAATTTTCATACGATATAGAATCTGCAAGTCTGTCAAACTGGACACCATCCACCATATAATAAAAGCAACTTCATATTTTTTTAACTCGCTGTCTTTTGTTTTTCTTTTTATTTATTTTTGAATTTAGAATGAGGTTCAAACTTTGGACAGTTTATGAAAAATTATGTGCATGATCAAATATGCAATAAAGTAAAAATAAAGAGAGAATTTATAGATGATATATGATAAAGAGATGCAGATATATTTTTACATAAGGATTTCTATTTGCACTGAACATTTTTAAACTAAATTAAAAAAAATAATAATAATGAATAAAATAAGAAATAAAAACAATAATAATAGGTAAAATAAGAATATAATGATTCATGATTAAATATAAGAAACACGTTTCAAAATGAGAAAAGCTAACTGAATTATATCGTCTACGGGTGAGGTTCGAACTTGCCACCTTTCCATCCCTCCGCCACCAAAGCAGCGCGCTGACCACTCAGCTATCTGTGATAGCATCGTTTGTGAAAAATAATGTAACAAGTAGCATATTTGTGATAGCATATCTGTGATAGACGTTGAAATTCTGTAATTAGTATTGAAATGAGGTGTAAGCAACAACTCAACTTTTCCAGTAGTAGTTGTATTGAAAGTACCTAAGCACGGGGGAAGTTCGAACTCGCCATCTCTCCATTTGCAAAGCAGCGCGCTGACCACTCAGCTATAGTGTACTAGAAGATATAGTGGGATTATCGCCCCATACACCCCGTGTTAAAACACGGTAATCTTTTTCGTACAAATAATCGAGGGCGGTGTCAGCGCATATGCCCCATCGAAATCAGGTAGACGTTTGTTTACAATCGTTGACATCTGTCACTTGCTATCTTCCTATTAAAGATCGAATCATTACTGCTACTTTTAATGCTGTAAGTGAGCTGATAATTTTACACAATAATCTTGGGTATTCTTTTTTGTTGTGAGCTGCTGAAACGTAATTTGATATGTCGGCAAAACTCTCACGAAAGTGTTTTGTTCCCGGCTGTATATCTGGTCACCAAAATGCCACAAAAGCATCACTGTTTAAAGTTCCCAAAGACGAAAATCTTCGTCGAGAATGGGCGAAAAGAATCTCCAGAGGAGATACAGAACTATCGATTGGTAAAATTCTAGTATACGGTGCAGCCTTGGCGCGATTTTGAAAATTATCACCAACACCAAAAATGACCCAAAGAACGTCTATGTATATACTATACACTATATATTATCACTACATACATACTATATACTATGTATAACTATATATATTCTTTGAATGACCCGTGTTATGTTTCGTTTTTAGTGCTCATCATAAAGTCGCCAAGAACCAAATTTTACTAGATTAAACCCTATCGATTCACCACAGTGTGTGTGAACTGCATTTTGAAGAACACTTTATTGAGAAATATTATCATCATATTGTTAACGGTGAGGAAATAAAAATTCCAAGAGGTAAACCACTGCTTAAACCTGAAGCAATACCTAGCATATTTCCGAATGCTCCAAAGTATTTTAATAAACCTCTACCACAAAAAAGGAAAGTCAGAAATAATATAACAACTGTGACAAAAAAAACATGTATGAATAAAGAAAATATTAGTATTTCAAACATCCCTGTTAAAAGAACTGTAGCGATAAGTGATGTAGAGACTGTCCAGTTACCTTCTCCATTTTGGTCAAAATTAAAAATCAAAAGCTGTCCTCAATCCATAGTATTCTTAAATCTGATTTGTAATGAAAATTTTCCGTACCCTTTGGTCAGAAAATTAGTCAGTATCATTGAAAAAAATAATGAATTCATTGCAGATGTTTTCATGTGTGGCCAAAAAACCCAATCTGTTACTTTTAATGCTGTGAGCGAGCTGGTAATTTTACTGAATAATGTTGAGGCAATATCTGTCTGCAGTGGAGTTGGAACCATTTTGGAATATAATCAGCACTATCATAAAAATGTAAATATTATGCATGATCAGATGTACAGTAAAAAGTGTGCAATTAAAATTAATGAGTCTGCAACATGTGTGCATTGTAAATATGTAAATAGATTACTGAAAAAAAATTTGTAAAAATAATTATTTGAAATCAAAATTAAGCAATAATAGAAAAAACAAATTGATATGTTGTTTAAGAAAAAAAATTACAGAGTTATCCTTAAAACTGAAGGAACAAAAAACAAATGAAATGGGCACTTCTGTTGTTGCCTCAAATCCGAAGCAATTACTTGCTATAAATGCTTTTAATAATGCCTCCAAACGTAAAAGTACTCAAGGTATGATTTATGATCCAAAATGGTTAATTGAATGTATAATAATGAGAATGAAAGGACCAAAACTTTATGAACATATCCGTGAAAATAAAATTCTGATTGTGCCTGGAAAGAACTGCCTACAAAGATATGTTAAAAATTACCGCAGTGGATTTGGTTTCTGTGATTCTGTTTTTCAGGCAATCAAAGTGAAAACTCAAAGTATGGAACCATATTTTCTCCATGGTGGTATATTGATAGATGAAATGAAGTTATCTGAAAATTTGCACATGAGTTCAGATGGTCAAATTGAAGGATTTGTGGACTTAGGAAATTTTCAAAATGGAAAAAAGCAAAGCAATCATGGATTAGTATTCCTATTTCAACCATTTGTGGGTGACTGGAAGCAGATTGTTGCAGTTTTTGCCACATGCAACAATATTAAAGGAACCTTGCTTGCTGACTTGATAATAGAAGCAACAATTTTGTTAGAAAATGCAGGTCTGTATGTAGATTTTATAACTTGTGATGGGGCTACGTGGAATAAAGTAATGTGGAAGAAATTTGGTATAGGTACTCAATCAGATAATACAACTGAATATCAGATAAATCATCCATGTGATGAAACACGCAAGTTAAATTTTATATCTGACTTTCCACATTTAATAAAATGTATGCGAAATGCCTTTTTGAAACATGGATTTTACACACCATATGGAGAAGTGCGCCCAGAGCATATAATTTGTGCATGGAAGAAAGATTGTGGTGCCGTTACTTTAAAAGCAATGCCACATATTAATAGAAAGCATCTTTTTCCGAATAACTTTGAAAAGATGCGAGTGGATTTAGCATTTCAGTTGTTTGGAAATGAAGTAGTCAATGGCCTTAGTTTCTTCCATAATGAAATAGAAGAAATGTACGGGAATTTAGAAGGTACAATACAGTTTGTGAAACAGATAAATTCATTAATTCATACAATGACATCTAGATATCCTGCAGAAGCTTTATTTTTAAATTCAGACAAGCACACAGCATTATTAAATTTTTTGTCATTTCTGGATGAATGGGAAAAGCTCACTAAAGAACAAAATATGAAACTTGGTTTGATTAGTCATGCAACTGTTGAAGGGTTACGTGTAACGTTAAAATCAACATTGTTTCTACTTCATTACATGACAGAAGAATTAAATTTAAAATACATTTTAACTTCAAGACTAAGTCAAGATGCATTAGAAAATTTATTTGGTATTATCAGACAGTCTAAAGGTTGTAATGATCATCCAACACCTAGTGAATTTTTGAATATTATTGAAACACTGCGTTTTTACAATCTTGCCAAGTCACCAAAGCATGGAAATGTATCAGAGGAAGTTATAACTGCACTTCTTGCACCCTCCATTGATAAAATGCATGCTGTAAAAAATAGTCAACATATTGAGCATGTAATTGACCAACTGATTGAAAAAGGTCAGTTGGTTGATGCATGCTCATCATTTGATTTCTATTGTACAGCTGTTGATCATACGTACACATCGCAACAAAGTGACTCGCGTATAGTTTATTACGTTGCGGGATATGTTGCTAGAAAGTGGATTAAAGTGGAGAAATGTATTGCTTGTTCAGAAGTTTTAAGAAATGTTGGACTAGAAAGCACAGTAAATTCTGAATTTATTTCTTTAGTTAGTAAAAAGAATCTTACACATCCTTCAAATAGTTTATATGCATTGATTGAATATCTTGAGAAGTGTTTTGTGAATTTTTTTAATGTAAATATAATAGAAAGAAGCAGTGTTGTACAATTTGTATCAACGCTCAAATTAAGTCATTATGTAGGTTGTGATTTACATAAAATAATGCTGACCAAAAAAATTCTAAGATTTTATATTATCACACGATTTCATTTTTACACAAAAGCTTTAAACAAGCAAGCAAACACAAGTCAGAAAGGTAAATTTTTAAAACTTCATAGAAC